TTTCTGGGGACTGGTCCCTCTTGATAACATGTCCAAAGAATGAGAGATGAAATCTCACTATCCTTGCTTCTAAGAAGCATTCTTTTTCCAAGACAGAGTTGTTTATTCTCCTGGCAGTCCACGGTACTTTGGATATTCTTTGCCAATATTATAAGTCAAGTGCATCAATTCTTCTGCAGCCTTTTTTTTCATTGTCCAACTGTCACATGCATAAGAGGCCATTGAAAATGCCATATCAGGTGTACCTCAGTCCTCAAATATCTTTGTTCTTTAACACTTTAAAGCAGTCTTTTGTAGCAGATTTGCCTAATGCAATATGTTCTTTGATTTCTCGACTACTGCTTTCATGAGCAATGATTGTGAATCTAAGCAAATTGAAGTATTTGACAACTTCAATCTTTTCTCCTTTTATCATGGTATTATTGGACTAGTTGTAAGAATTTTTGTTTTCTTTACATCATGGTGCAATCATAGTGAAGGATGCAGTCTTTGATCTTCATCAGTAAATATTTCAAGTCCTCTTCGCTTCCAGCAAGCAAGGTCTCTGTCATCTGTGTATTGCAGGTTGTTAATGAGTCTTCCTCCAATTCTGATGTTACATTTTTCATGTAATTCAGTGTCTCCTATTATTTGTTCATCATACAAACTGAACAAATATGATAAAAGTATACAACCCAGGCACATACCGCTCCTGATTTTAAACCATTAAATATCCTCTGTTGTATTCCAACAACCGTCTGTTAGTCTATGTACAGATCCCTCATAAGCACAATTAAGTGTTCTGGAATACCCATTTTCAAGGTTATTCATAGTTTGTTAGGATCCACATAGTCAATTGTCTTGAGTAGTAAATAAAATTGACTTTAAAATTACTTCTATTTGTGAAGAAAAGGAAGTAGTAATTTTAAAGCCAGAAGATAACATTAAGGTGTAAGAAATGAAATCTGAGTAGAGTCATATGTATCTTTTACAAAATTACTAATGCTTCATAAATATTGGATTCCCATTTTAGCAATTTTTGGTCCAGAATTTTATTTTAGTAATTTTAAATAACCCAAAGTAATTGAAGCTTATTAAATCAAAAAAGGACACTTGAACTTTGATGTTCTTGACTACACTTAAAAGGTATTTTACTTTTTGAAAACTTATGTTGTCACAGTGATTTTTTAAACATAACAGCAGGTTTCTTAGCGTTATTTAAACCCAGAACTACTCAATAAACAAGAAGGTCTCCATACTGTCCTGAGTTTACCTTATATAATCTAAATGCTTCTGACAAGAGTGCTAGACTATCTTATATGTACAGATATACACCTTTTTCTAAATAATTGAATTAGAGGTCAGTAGTAAAAAGTGCTGTTTATGAAGTATAAATCTAGGAAAATTGAAAGTTGTCAAAAATGAAATGGAATGCATAAAGATCAATATCCTAGGCATTAGTGAGCTGAAATGAACTGGTATTGGCGATTTTTAATCTGACAGTCATATGATTTGCTTTAGAGAGTGCAGTATCTGTAGGATAAGCACTGGACTTCAAACCAGAAGGTCAGAAATTCCAGCCTACCAGCTGCTCTGCAGGAGATACACCCTTGGAAACGGTATGTACCTATATAGGCTCACTCTGAGTTGGAATCATCTTGGCAGCATTTAACAATATAAGGAATATAAAATTGAATAGGAATAGCATCACATTCATTATTAATAAGAGCATTTCAAGATCTTTCTTGAAGTATAATACAATCTGTGATATAATATCCATACACCCTATAAGGAAGACTGGAGTTGTGGTATGGCTCCTCAGAAACCCTATATAGACTTGCTATGAATCAGAATCAGCTTGACAGCACTGACAATAATGGCAAGGAAAACCAGTTAATATGACTGTTACTCAAACTTATGCACCAATCACTAAAGACAATGATAAACTGAAAAGCTCTCCCATCTTCTTCAGTCTAAAATTGATCAAACATGCAGTCAAGATGCATTGACAATTACTGGTGACTGGAATGCAAAAGTTGGAAAATATGACCTTGGCGATAGAAATGATGCTCAGCAGATGGGGACTCTAGACCCAGAAAGGGAGAAACGTTTTCTGGCTCCACATCTTTGTCATTTACTTAAGCCATACTCTTTTGTTTCTTCATGTGAGCTAAAATTGTCTGTTTTCTCCAGGGCTTTGTGTTGTTGTTATAATTGTGTTTAATTGGTAATTACATGTTGATGTGCTGTTAGGCTCCCACCAGCTATCTCTGATGAGTGTAGTTATGGAATGGATTCATGTATACCATTCTCCATTTGTCATTAGTACATTGCAGTTTAGGGTTGGTTTGCTTATTTTGGGCTATTGTCTATCATTGATCTGGTGGTATAGCCTCTAGTATTGGCTCTTGCCCAGTGTGTGGAGCTGCAGAGGATAAAATTGTAGCTGAGCTGTGTGGGCTCTGTAGCTGTCTCCTGTTGGGTGGGAAAGAGGAAATACCCTCTCCTTACCAACACACACAACAAAACAAAACAGAATAAACAAACAAGCAACCACCAATGAAAAGAGAAAATAATAAGGGGGAAAAAAGAAATAAAAACAGGCAACAACCAGAAAAAAAGAACATAATAACTAAAAAATGAAAAAAGGAACATGAAACTGGAGCTATAAAAGAGAAATAAGAAGAGAGAAAATTAAGGAAGAAACAAACAAACAAATAAAAACCACTTAGAAAAACTAGGGAGAGGGAATATGAAAAGAGAAGGAGAATAGAGCATAGTAAAGCAGGAGAAGGGGGGAAGAAATGAGAAGCAGAAAAAAAGAAGGAAAAACCAAAGCAGAAATAGAAAGGATAAAATTCAAGGTAATGGAAAGAGAAAAAGGAGAAAGAATAAACAAAGGCAATGAGGGATGGCCCTAAATGTTGTCTGTTAGCTATATAATCTATGTCAGGACTCTCAGCCGAAAGTTGCTCATGAAGGCCCTTAATGGAGGTGGTTTCAGTGTCTGTTAGGACCACAGGGCTACTGCAGGCAGGGTGGCTACTTACAAGGATTTCTGCTAGAGTAATACTGGTCTTTCACCATGCTTATTCAATCTGTATGATGAGCAAATACTCCAAGAAGCTAGGTTATATGAAGAAAAACCTGGCATCAGGATTGGAGGAAGGTTCACTAAGAACCTGCAATATGCAGATGATACAACCTTGATTGCTGAAAGTGAAGAGGACTTAAAATACAACTCACAGCCTTCATATGGGTTGCATCTGAATGTAAAGAAAACAAAGATCCTCACCACTGGACAGATAAACAACATCCATATCAATGGATGGAAGTTGTCAAAGACTTCATTTTGCTCGGATCAACCATCAACGCTCATTGAAGCAGCAGTCAAGCAATCCATTTGCATTAGGCAAAGATGTAGGACTAAGGTGAGCCGCACCCAGCCGTGGTATTTTCAATAACCTCATATGCATGTGAAAGTTAAACAGCAAATAAGGTAAACCATAGAAAAAGTGATGGATTTGAGTTATGGTTATGGAGAATATTAAAAGTACCATGGACTGCCAAACGAACAAACAAATCTGTGTTGGAAGAAGTGCAGCCAATGCTCCTTGGAAAACAGGATGGCCAAACTTTGTCTCTCATTCTTTGGACATATTGTCAGGAAGGACTAGTCACTGGAGAAGGATGTCATGTTTGGTAAAGTGGAGGGTCAGAGAAGAAGAAGAACCAACAAGATTCTTTGGCACAGTGATGGCAGCAATGTGCTCAGGCGTAAGCAACTGTTGTGAGGTTGGCCCAGGACAAGGCACTGTTTTTTTCTGTTGTGCATAGTGTCTTTAGGAGTCGCTACCAACTCAATGGCACCTAACAACAACAACAACAATGCTGGTCTGGTGCTCTGCAGGTTCTGTAGGTCTGGAGCTGAGCCCACCTGAATTCTGGCACCAATTTGGTTCAGTTGGCCCCTGTGCCCTACCCACCTCATATTATAGTGGCTTACAACCACATGACTCCAAACTCTGGAGAGCAGGGATAGTGCTGGAGGTGGATGAGGGTCAAGGCTGGCCACAACTCAGGTCACCAGAGGAATGTGGGGAAAATAGGAATCGCACCTTCCTGTCTCCAGTGTGAATCTGCTCTGCCAGTCCACCTTCAGTCACAAAGCTGCTCACCAAAGTTCAAGATGGTCTCACCGCAACTGGACAGCCGTTCACCAGTTAGTGTCTTTTTCTTTTTCTCTGTCTGTCTCTCGTGTCCCTGCTATGCTTCTCCTCCCAGCAAGCACTCAGTCTACTTCTTTTAACCTTTCTTCTGAAGTTCAGGGTTCCAGAATTTTCATCTGTGTAGTTTCATTTGGTCTCTTTTATCTTTTTTGTAGAGGGTTTGTGTAATGTGTCTGCCTTGTTTGCCATCTTGCCATAAGTTGTATGTGTTAACATTGATTTTAAAAACTAAGTTTAGTAACCTGAATATTAGCATAATTAATTTCCCCTTTAAAATACTATATTTCTCATTTTTAATGTGATAACACCAAAATATCACATTGGTAAATAAATAACCTTAAAAAAAATAAGCAACTCTCTGCATTGCTGGCTGTAAAATAAGTCAGTTCTTTAACCCATTTAAAAGAGAGCATCTGGGAAGCTGAAAGGCTGCACCAAACTCCCTTTTGTCATTATTTCAAGTAGCTTTTGTGAGCAAAGTTTCTCTTACCTAGCAACAGTTGCTAAGTAAATTGAAAACTTGATTTTACAGTCTGGGAGTGGGTAATTGCTAACTGTCCCCACATCCAGCTCCCCTACCTAATGCAGCAGAAGTTTTCAGTTTCTTTTTAATGTTAGGCACGTGACCACTGTCTAATCATGGTAAATCATCCTATTCTTACCATTATCTATCTAGCATTGTCCTAAAACCTTGCATCTCTTTGTCTTTAAACTTCCAATCTTTCTTAAATCTGCTTTTTCTGAACCTCTGAGTATTTTAACTACATTGTGGAAGAAACCTTAAATGTAACTATGATCAGAAATCCGAATTACTCAAATTTTGTTTGCTGTGCTATTTGTAATAAAGTAATTCCACCAGCTCCTGTTGGGGAAACCTTCAAACAGATCCATGAATACAAACCATTTAAGACGCGCTTTTATACTCACAAAGATATACTGGGTAAGTGACTTGATTGTTTTTCTTTCTTCTAATGTTACTACTTAGTATTATTTGTAATTCTTCCTGTTACCCAGACTTTTTTCGTGGTCAAAGTCACTTGTACCTGGAGGAGCGCCTGTTTGGCATAATAAGAATATAGATTGGAATCCCAGCTACTCATCTAAGCATTGTGTGCTGTGGGCAAATTATTTAGATTCTCAATCTGTTTATATGTAAATAGGGATATTAATACCTACCTTACAGGTTGTTATGAGATATTAAGGAAATATGTGTACCTATCAAACAGTCTGGAGTCCTGGTGTAGCGCTGTGGGTTAATGCGCTGGACTGACTGCAAAGTCAATTTGAACCCCAAGGTCAGTGGTTCAAGCTCACCAACAGCTCCTTGGAAACCATATACAGGGTTGCTATGGGTCAGAACTGGCTTGATGGCACTTAACAACAATAATAATTACATAGTCTTAGGAGAAAGATGAGACTTTTTGCTCCAACAAAGATAAACTGCTTTGGAAACTCTATTCAGGGGCTCTATGAGTTGGAACTGATTTGATGGCCCTTAACAACAGCTATTCCTGGTGTGGCACTGTAGGATAAGCACTAGACTGGGAAGCACAGGTTGCCAGTTCAAACTCACCAGCTGCTCATTGGAACCCCTATACAAGGTTGCTGAGTCGAAATTCACTCGACAACAGTTAACAACAAACAATAGTCTACAGTCTGGCACATAATAGGCAGTGAATGTTAGTGCTTTTCTAACATCCCCATACTTAGGCACCTTCCATACATACATATAGGATAATGCCCTAATAAATGAATGAAAGAAACTATATGCTGTAATTAGTATCTGGTGATGTAAAGATAGATAAATACAGATTAATTGAGAATATAAATAACATCTCATAAACAAATTGTAGTTTACATCTGTCTTCTCTCCTTTGTTCTAGTAATTTTTATGTCTGATTTTGATCCTTGTGAGTAACAACACTGCAGAAAGTAAGTATTCTGCAACACTTAGTTGTGCTCATGAGGAACCAAGAGGCACTTGTTCCAACAGAACATGGGAACACTGAATGGTTTAAAATTAGGAAAGGTGAGCACCAGGTTTGT